AATAACTATTTGTATAGCACTAACATTATTATAGAGATGATTTGAAGTATACAGGAGGAAGTGCATAGGTTMTATGCAAATACTACACCATTTTATAAAAGGGACTTGAACATCCACAGATTTTGCTATCTCCAGGGGATCCTGGGACCAATCTTCTACAGATGCAAAAACTTGATTGTAACTTCTTACATCAGTTTTGTACTCAGAAGAGAATTGTGAAAAGAGCATGAAGGCCTCCTGCTTAGTGATTACTTGTCCCAGCTCGGCCCTTCTCCAGCCCTCATCTGTTCCATATGTGCCCATTCTCTCCCTGTGCTCCTCTTCAAACAAGGACACCACCTCATTATCAACATACAGCCATCCAGAGGTAGTCCCTAGATGTGCACTTTTCCAATGTCTTAGTGCTATCTGTAAAGCCCCACATGGATGCACACTACACTGGCTGCCAGTCCTCATATGCCTCCTACACCCTGCCATAATCCCTCCTTTTCCCATCCATCATGACCCTGGCACACCTTTGTTTCCTAGGGTGACACTGCCTAGTCCCAAGTCCCAAGTCATGTTTGGGGAGACAGACCATGAGCATGAAAACAATGCTGCATCTGCCTCAGCCATCTAACCAAGAGGCACATGATACAATCTGCCCACTGCTGGGGATAGCAATCCTGTCCACTGGGTCAAGATGGTCCCCACTAGGGCTGTCTACCACAAAGCCACCATTTCCCCTTGTCTGGTTAGAATTCTATAGGGAAGAATTCTGATGTTACACCGACCTAATCCTCAAAGGACCTCAACCTAAGCACTCACAAATGCCACCTCCATGTCACCTTTTCCCCTTTTCATGTTTATAACTCTCTTCTCTGCACAGGGAAAACTCCAGCTCCTATTATCTTCCTGATATTTACTGACATGCCCAACTTGTGAGCTTGTTTGGGTGATACGGTTGGCCTCCCAACCTGACCACCTTTTTTCCCAACCTGGCACCCCCCTTTCCTGTCTGTGACCTCAGAGACCAACATGGTTGAATCTGGAGGGGAATGAAGGAAGGAACAATGGGGACACAGAGCACATCAGCAAAGAATTCCAGAGAAATGGTGGATCTAAAAAGGAACTGTGATGTCCTGGGAGAAAGGGAGGAGCCTCCATGGACTTAGTGCAGGATTCCACCACAAGAACCAGAAGCACAGACCAGGAGGGGAAAGCCTGGCAAACGTGACTCCATTAAAATGAGAACTTTGGTTCACTGAAGACACCATTAAGTGAGTAAAAAAATGTGAGCCATMATGTTAGAGAAAGAATTTTTGATATAAAAATTCTAAAAAAGAACTCTCTATGTCACTAAGAAAAAGGCAGTCAGTCAATTTGGCAGAACAGGCAAGAGATCAAAGAGGTGTTTAAGAGTTTATCCCAATGGGCTAGGGTTGTGGCTTAGAGGAAAAGTGCTCACCTGGCATGTGTGGGGCACTGGGTTCAATGCTCAGTACCACAGAAAAAAAGAAAGAACTAAATGGAGGTATTGTGTCCACCTATAACTAAAGAATAAATGTTTTTTTTTAAAAAAAGAGTTTATCCCAATGGCTGATAAATACAAGAATGAGGTCCACTGTGATTAGAAAACTCAATTCAAATTATACTCAGAAATACCCTTGTCCTGAGGGGGAACAGAGGAGGGAGGTGATCTTGCTGCAGGGGTACAGATGAGCATCTGCTGACAAGTCCAATGTGTGTATGCACTGTGGCCCAGACATCCCAGCTCTAGGTGCAGGTTTCAACCCATAGACATGTTTTCATCTGGGCACCAAGAGACTCAGATAGGAGTTGTCCTGGCAGTTTCATTCATAACAGTCCCAAGTGGGCAACCTAGATCTTCACCTACAGGAGCATAGTAAGTGAAACAGGAAGATGCATCTAATAGATACCATTAAAAACAAACAAACAAAAAAAACAGCCACAACACAACTAATTGAAACTGGGTGCAGTGATGCACGCCTATAATTCCAGCAGCTCAGGAGGCTGAGGCAGGAGGATTGTGAGTTCAAAGCCAACCTCAGCAATGGCAAAGTGCTAAGCAACTCAGTAAGACCCTATCTGTAAATAAAATAAGGCTGGGGATATGGCTCAAGGGTTGAGTGCCCCGAGTTCAATCTCCAGTATGCTCCTCTCCCTACTAAAAAACTTTTTCACAACTAATTGTAGCTATATGTACCATGGTGGACCTTGCAGAGATTAGGACAAGTGACAGAAATCAGACACAGAGGAAGCTGTTGTTCCTTTTTAAGTAAAAAAAAAAAAAAACAGAAAAAACTAATCTATACTTTTTTTGAGACATATATTAAGAAGGTAAAGCAAGAATAAGGCATTGGGTCTCCCTATGTCATTGGGGAGGGCAGGAAACATTTTTAAGGGTGGCAGGTAGGGTTGGGGGAGTGGGGCTGCAGGGCTGGCAGCACCCACTTCTTGACCAGGAAGTGGTTACTCAGGTGCTTCTGTGATGACGCAATAGTCTGTACACTCATTCTTTCACTTTTCTCTAAGTATGTTACATTTCACCATAAAAAAGGTAAAAGAAACTTCCTGCTGAGGTGGCTATCATGGTACAGGTACAGGTGGAGCCTCCCCCAAACATGAAAGCTCATAGCCCCCTTCAAGGACCACTTGGAGAGACTTGGCTTCCAAACACAGCTGATTACAGTCCAAGTATAGCCAGCCTCTGCGGGCTGTAGTCTCTAGTGCAATGCAAATGCACCTGGGCATTCCACACCTGTAGTCGCCACCTGCAGGCTTCCTGACCCATGGCCTCACCTGCCTGGAGAGGAGCCCTACTCAGAGAGGGGCCCTACCTGGAGAGGAGAGGGTCTGCTGAAGCACCATTCTAGCTGGGATAAGAGGCACCATCAAACACTTGCTTTAAGCTTGCCCTTTGAGTGTGCCTTCCATGGTCCCAGCCCAAAGGATTGTGAAGGCCACCCAGGCATCTGGGCCCAGGAGGAGCAGAAGGCCCTCAAGGGTCTATCTCTCAGCTGAAAACTCAGGGAGAACATTTACAAATGATCACTCTTCGTGCAAGTGGCTTAGAGGAGTATATGGAAATAAGGTCTACTTTGAAAATCAAGGAAAGACTAAAACCACACAGAGTTTTCTACATGAAAGTGAGGAGAGCTGGGGCAGCTTAGCCAGAAAGGAGTTAAGCTCCTTTAACAAGGACTCTACAAGCACAAAAGTCAGAGCCATCACCCTCTTGAACAACTGTGGTCCCTCGGCCATCTGCCAGCCATTTTGGGGTGGTGATACAGGATGAGTCAGGCACAAAAGTCCTCTGCAGACTGTCAGAGGACTTGTACTCTGGGAACTAGACTCCACAGCACCCAAGAGTCCTGGGCATCAAGTCTAGAACAGGAAAGTAAGTCTGTCCTTCTGGAGTTCTAGGCCATGAAGGTAATGGCTCATGAATGCCCTGGACGTGATGGGTACCAAGTCTCAGAAGGTGGCAGCAGGCCCATGTGGGGCCAGAGGCTGCTCAAGAAGGTGAATATTTCACTTGGTGCATTCCTGGGCTGACAACAGTTGAACTGCTTAGGGGAAGATATTCCTGTGATTGAAGACAAACAGTCTGCTATGGCAGACAGGTAGCCCTGAAAGAGAACTTCTTATTGGTGCCCTGCACACTCTCCCTGTCCCTATGATGCCCTGTCCTTTCCTCTCCCTGTGGGAAGCCTCTTACTCATCCATCTGCCCTTTCCTGCTCCTTTCTGGCCCACCTAGTGTCCCTGATTCCACCATCTCCACAATGCTGCAGTGGCAATGCCAAAATGCAGCCCTAGTCAACTACCAAGAGATGCCTCTTACTTGAGGTCCCTGAGTTTGCCCATYCCCAAATCCCTCATACTCCCTCATGCTGTTCACTGGCCAGGCTCTCTGTGGCCTCTTCACATGTGGTCTCTTCCACTAGGAATAACAGATCCTGCTCTGAAGCCACAGGCTGGCACCAGGCTGCAGGAAGAACCATCCTTAAACATTTATCAGGTTCTTCTAAGTAGTTACCTGTCCAGATAGCATCACAGTTAAGAGGGTTGGATAACCAGCAACCAGCCCACTCTAAACACATTGCCTGGAGACAGACCAAGGATACCAGAATCCACCCTTGAGTTAATAAGAGGCTGGGTCAGTGAGCATCTCAATGGAGATGGGCAACTTCTATGGTCCTTTCCAGCTATGATGCAGCCTATAAATGATGCCCAAGTAATTTGTAGGAGACAAAACATGCACAAAAACACATATACAGTCTATAACACATGGGCTCAGGACTTTGGAAAAAGGAGACTGAATGGGCAAAAACCACAGGAAATGCTATAAGGCCTATGGGCAGGAAATTAGCCCCATCAAAGCACCTACTTCAGAAGTACACTAAAACAAACCACACTGTGACAGTCAGATGGGCTAGTATAACTCAGTGAAAGGACACAAGGCCAGGGCTCCAGGTCCAAGAGTCTCAGCACCCAGTCTTTGACCTGCTATATTTACTTATTTCCTTACTGGCTCTTAGTCTCCAAACATATGCTTCATTCCCTCCCTTCCCCTAAACACGTGGTGCTGTCAACTCTGCCTAACTCCAAGTCACAATCTGATGCCCTCCACGAAGCCTGGCCTTCTTTACCTTCTCACACCCAGGCTGGCAGCAGCCACCTCAATGTCACCAGCTCCAGCCTTCTGATCTCCTGTATATCACCTCCCAGACCCATCTCAGAGCARTGAAGAGCCCCAGTGAGGATGATGGGGCTGTAAAAGTCAGATCTACATGCTTTCCCAAGGACAAATGGCTGCCCTTGCTCCCCTACATGCTGGTCAAGCTGGCTACTGCTCCCAGAATCCTTCAGGTCACCCCCTTTCTTCCCTAGCAGCTAAGTGAGAACCACAAGGGCCTCTGTTAAGGAGCTCTTGCTTCTTGCTGGAGGGCCTGATGGGATTCCATTGGAAACTTACTCACTGCTACYGTGACCTACCTGAGGAGCTGTGGCCCCTGGGGCAGTGTCTGCAGCCAGGTCACACTCTGGCCCCCATGGCCATCCAGGGTGGCAACTGTTCTCCGTGTCTGCAGGCTCCAGATGTGTACCAAGCCACTCTGAGACCTGTTAGAGAAGAGCCAAGCATAGGTCAGGGATAGGTGCTAGAGTCAGGTGGACACTTTGAGCTCACTCTGGGACCAACCTGGACACCACACACAGCTGACGGATACAGGCATTCCAGCAGATCAAGAATTTAAGTATAATAGCTGACAGCTCTAACTGTGAACACAGGGTAAAACTGAGAGGGCATTGGGAGCTTTTGCCTGGGAACTTGGGTGGTGTGTGCTACTCTGGAGCAGAGTGAGGGCCATGCCATAAAAATGTAAACTAGATGGTCTATACTAAAAAGCTGTGTATCCCTGTTCCTCTTAGCTTCCCAAAAGGACACATATCAAATAGTCTCTAAAAGTGCAATGAGCATAGGTGACAGGTGGTTGAAGCCCTCTGCCAGTACTCAAACAAGTAATTGACTCCATGCTAGCCTATGACCACTTGACTTTACTCCTGGACTCAGGATGGGGTACCTGCTACTCACCCTGAAAAGAGGAGAGGGCACCCCTGAGCCTGGGTTCCTCCAAAGAAATGGACAGCATTCACTGCTGACTGTGTACCTCGGAGGACAAACTGGGGATCTGGTGGTTGTGGTGCAAGGGGGGCTGCCATGTGTAGTCACCTGTAGACCAAAGGAAGACATGTGAGTGACAGAACTCAGGGAGTCTGGGCAGAGGTGTTTGGGACACTGCCCTGCTCAGTGTTCCTGGCCATTTTGGGAGGAGGAAGACTTCCTGTTTCCCCAAATCCCCCTGCATGGGCCACAGAGGTCCATGCCAGAGTTAAGAGGCCCATCCTTTCCTCAACTGCCAACCTCTTCTGGTTGCTCCTTCTGGAATCTGGGAACCCTCCCTGGATATCCTATCCCTATCCTGCCTATCAGCTTCTGTACCCAACAAGGTCCCAACCTGAACCCTTCCTGGACAAATATAGGGCACTTGCACCTACCCCTGGCTACTCTGGCCTTCAGGGTCCTATATAGAGCCCCATACTGTCTCCAAGAATTCCTTTCCACTGCCAGTGGTAAAGATCCTTTTCTTGGGGCTGGGGGTATAGCTCAGCGGTAGAGCACTTGCATAGCAAATGTAAGACCCTGGGTTCTATCCCCAACATTGAAAAAAAAAAAAAAGACTCCTGAACCTTCTCCTAGGTCTATCTGTGCACTTCTTTGTAAAATCCAGTTTCGGCAAGGTGCCACATAGGGTCCCCGTGGGGCTGAAGGAGAGGTGCCCTCCTCACCTCTACAGCAAATAGCCTCACTGGGTCCTGGGCTATATTTTCACAAATTTCTAATTATTACAAAAACCCTATGAGTAAGAAGCACTCCTTTACTTTTGGAAAACTGAGGCAGGAAATAGTTTGGTTGTGCTACCCAAGGCCCTTGGGCTCAGGCTTGAGTGCTCAAAAGTCTGCATGCCATCACCAAGGAGCACAGTAGCCAGTGCTGCAGTATATGGACAGAGGCCAGAGCAAAGTYGTCTGGCTGCTCCCCATGGGGCTGTTGTCACAGATAGGTAGCCACTTCCTCAATCACAGAGTCTGCGTTTAAGACCTGCTAAGATCCACCCTGCAAAGGAGAGGCTTCCAATGTTCTTTTAGAGCCCACCCCACTCATTTAACCCTGCAGAGCCTTCCATGCCACCTCAGTCCCACAGGTGGTTGCTCTTGAGAAGCAGAGGTGACCCAGAGCCAGAGGTGACTTGTCCCAAAGGCCAAGGGCACATGTGTCAGTGCTAAGTGGAGGGTGCAGAGGTAAAAGGCAAAGTAGATAGCTGGAGGGCTGAAGCAGTGTGCCTTGGGGGCCTTTTCCCCTGGTCTTTGGAACAGTCCCAAATCCACCCACATGCAGGCAGCACATAGCAGGGAGAAATAGGCCTGCTCTGCTGGGGAAGCCACCATAGCCATCAGAAGGACCAGCAGGCAAAGAAAATGGGAGCAAAAAAGAAAGAATTCCTCTAAAACCAAGCTTTGGCTGGGAGGCCAGAATGGGATGTGAAAGGAAGAGGGGGGCCACAGGTTGAGGTCACATACAGCACATGAGTAGGTACGGAGAAAGGAGAGGAGCGGACTTCTTGAATGGGCAGCCCACATAGAGCAACTTCTTTCAGCTATGCCTCCACYACCAAGCCCTGCAGCCTACCTGCTAGAGCTGCTCCGCAAAGCTACTCCAGGCCCTCATCTCTCTCTTTCTACAAAAGAAGCAAGGAGTAGTTTTCAAGTTTCTCAGAGCATAGAAAGTAGGCAAGGGCCAGAGCAAAGATCTCAAAAGATAACCATAGCCTGTGCAGGGAGGACTGCTAGGCTTAAGAGGCTAGGGCTAGARCCCACAAAGTCAGGAACAGACTCTGACACCAGAGTGAGGGTCTGCCTTTTCTGGACCTCAGGTGGCAGTCCAACACCAACCAAACCCTGCTTCTCTCAAGGGCTTTCAAAGAGAATGAGGTTGCTGAGAAAGAGTTTCAGTCAAATAGCCCCTCTCACTTTTGGCTAAAAGTCAACTAACTCTTCCCAAATGGAAGATGGTTTCCTGCAGGAAGAGAGAGACCCAACCCCACATTGCTCTTAGGACCCATGCTCCTGCTTTGGCCCATGACAGGGCCCAAATGCTGAAAGGGATGCTACCAGCAGGATGGCCTGGAAGACATTTCAGAGTGGCAGCTATTGGGCCCTGAGAAATGGATGTCCTGACAGATCCAAGGCTGTGGGTCCCAGTTCCAAAGGGGCCCAAGAACGCTGCCCTGGCTAAAGCAATTCAACCTATAGAAAAGCACCAAGTCAGGATAGGCATCCCTCCCACCAGGCAGCAGGTTCTGACAGGCCATCTCTGCCCAGGCTCCCATGTGCAGCACAGCACTGTAGTCATGTGTGCACACACATACATATACACAGGACACATATACACATGTGCATAATTCATGAATAAGACATATACAGGCACACACATACACTCACATTCACAAATGCATACATGCACATGATTAAAGTCTTAAATTCATATATATATATATATATATATGCTTAGACTCACATATGCACACTCACAAACCTACAGATGCATACATGTATGCACTTGTACATTACTGATATGCACACACTCATGCAGATACTCATTCACCCAAAAACATATTCACAACTCAAACACATGCCCATTCATGCTCACAGGCAAACACATTTCACACATGTATAAGAACACACACACACACACACACACACACACACACACACACACGCACGCAGCATAATGGCCTTGGGCAGTGTCAGCTGAAGCCCGGCCCACACTTGCCACCTGCCTGCGGCCTGGTGGGAGTTTCCAGAACCTCACAGCAGAAGACTCATTGTGAGGTGATGAAATCAAGTTCTCCTCTATTGTTTCCCCAGAACTTCAGGGAACAAACCCGTCACGTTGTTACAACAGCCGAAATGCTCAGTCCAAAATGATGCATCGGCAATTAAGGGCTCCATCATTTCAAGCAATTAAAATAAACGCTTTATTTGAAAACTAATTAATTCTACCTACATATTTTTCCCATGACAATATCCTATGATTACTTGATTTATGACATCTAATTATTCCTTATTAATCTAATTGAGAATAATCCCATTATCCTATCTCCCCTGGCACAAGGCCTCCTGGGGCGGAGGCCGCAGCCCCTGCATACAGCTTGTATGTAGCACCAGCCACGAGGTGCTATGCAATGCCCAGCTCTATCCCTGTCTTTTCTTCCCASAGGGCAAAGGAATAGGAAATTTGATCCAGAGTACAACTTTGGTTCTGCCTGCTTTTTAAAATATCATAGCCAGACAGAYTCTTTCAAAAAATTAAAAGGAAAGAATCTGATACAATCTGTATAACTCTGACAGCCTTTCTTAAGGTACTACAGACACCCTGAAAGTCCCACAGGCCCTTGGCCATGGCATGATAGTATCCTGCTGGGACACCACAGCAGCAGCAGCACAGAAGGCCTCAGGGTTATTTCCATGGAGAGGGGACCCCAATAGTGGGTGGCTGGGGCCAGGCTGCACCCCACCTTTATACTTTGGACAGACATAGCAACCTACTGAGGTCTGCAAAGCCTGCAGCTGGCACCTTTTCTAAGGGCATCTGCTTAGGGTAACCTGGGATTTGGGTTCTGATGGCCTCTGAGGTGACAAAAGACAAAGCTTAGGGCCCTCTCAAGGTGGCTAGTCTCTTAGGAGAAACCCAATAAAGATGGGAACTTAACAAGGCTATATGCTCAGTTCATGCTTAAACTAAACCAGAACTAAACCTGCATTATCCATAGTGCAAGAAAGATGCTGGCCTGAAGGTTTCACCCCCRACTCACATCACCTTGGAAGCTCTCCAAAACTTCAGAGAGACTTCTCAGAGAGACTCCACCTTCTACCCAGGTGTCAGTGAAATCACAGATAAAGTCTTATGGTCAGAAATCATAAAAACAAACAAAGCACACATGGCACCATGAGTGAGAGCCATCAGAAACAACAGGAGGCAGAACTAGGTCCACAGAGCAAAGCACTTGGGTATATAAAGTAAGAATGTTTCAAGTTTCAAGGAAATAAAAATAGGGAACTGTGGCTACAAGTAGAAAGCAAGACTAAAAATCACCACAGATTTGAATAGGATCCAATCTAGTAAAAGGTTGCTGGGAAACAGATTTGCATCATGCCAAGGTGTTACTCTCCAGATTATCTAATCACAAAAAGAAAATGTATATTTACAATGGAGATATCTGGCTGTCACCACCTTCACCAACTGATAGGAGGTGGCATTGCCAATAGTAAACAACAGGCATCACATCTCTTCACATGATGCARTAAGAAATCAGGCACCAGCCTTGCATATCTGTGCTAACAATGTTCAACCTGAACCTGGCCATGAGGAAATAATCAAATACATTGAGATAGGAGACACTGGACAAGACAGCTAGCTTAGACTCATGAAAAAGGTCAAGATCAAGGAAAACAAACAAACAAAAAAATCAAAAGGGAGAGACAGCACAACCAAATGCAACATATGAATCTTAGATCCTGGATATTAAATTTGATCCTGGATCAAAAAAGTGAGGACTATAAAGGAATTTTGGGGACATTTGGGATAATCTGAATATGAACTGCAGATCATGTAGAATTATTTTCTTGAGAAGGAAAACAGCACTGATATTTCATATAGAAGAATGTCCTTATTCCTAGATGTATGCTAAAGGATTTAGGTGTGAATAGTTATCATATCAGCAATTTATTTTCAAAATGTTTCAGAAAAAAATCTCTTTTTAAAATTTATTTTTGTTTATTTATTTTTATGTGGTGCTAAGGATCAAACCGAGTCCCTCACATGTGTGAGGCAAGCCCTTTGCCACTGAGCCACAACMCCAGCCCAGAAAAAATATCTCTTAATCTGTATCCATCTACATATGAATACAGTTGTCCCTCAGTATCTATGGGAGATTGGTTCCAGGACATCCCTTGGCCCCACAATGTGGATACCAAAATCTAAAAATGCATAAGTTTCTTATATAAAATGGTAATAGTATTTGTGTGGAATCTATGTGCATTCTCCTATATACTTTAAATCATTTGTAGATGTTTATAATGCCCAATATAATGTAAATGCTATATGTATGG